GGAGCAAATTAGCGCTATCCTTTTTCTGTACCAGAACCGATGGAAACTTGCACAGGCGGGTTGCTTCGGTGTCCTGACCACACATATGACCTCAATTTTTTTTTTTGACAACAGAGCCATTAGTGCTCTGCTAATGCTGATCCTGGTGTACGAGTGATTCCCTTCCAGCCAGACAGAGCCGCAGGGGAACGCGGGTGACCATACCATATGATATTCGTAAACAGCACGCCAAATACCTCGAATGTGGGTGGAAAAGGCGATGCTCGTGAACAGGATCCTCGACCCCCCCCCCCCAAGAAATTGTAACAAATTTTTCAAGAAACATATGGTTCCAAATCGGCGCTCATTGGCACCAGCGCTAAGAATGGATGTATCATTCGTGGTCAAAGCCCCTAATGACTTCTATAGGCATGCTATAGCGAAAAATTCCGATTTTCTGGAGTCGCATTAGTAGAATAGCGCCGAATATTGCTATCAACTACATAGGCAACTATTTTGACTTATGAATCAGATTGGTGAAGTCGATGGCTATAATAGTACTGTAATTGACAATTCATTTGTGCACTCTCTTCAGCATTCTATTAACAAGCAATCAGCAGCGTGTAGCCCGCAAGGAGCGTGCTCTTCATCTGAATAACAGCATTCATTAGTTGCCTCTCAGAGTTGTCGAGATCCTCTCCGTCTATTGTTGACGGCCATTCAATAATTCGGATTAAATCTGTCTCTCGGGCCAGAAACTTCCTTACGTCGTGAACAACTTCTTTGGGCGCAGTACGGCTTGGTGAGAGCATTTTGCTGGTTTCTTTGCTCACGTCCGATGCCTCCTATGGGCTCCTGTTATTTCCGGTAAAGCTATACAGGCAGGACCTGCCATTATTGTGTAAAACACAACGGGGTTAGCATTGAGCCATAATATTAATTTTTCTTGATTGTTGACTTTTTTCATCTGCGTGCTCCGGTCACTGCATTGGAGGGAGAATTACGTGGATGGGAGACGGAGGCCCATTTTCAAGTATTTAACACAGCGCAGTGGTGTGTCCCTGCGATGGTGTGCCCCATGCTGTGTACGGCGTGAGCTTGCTTTACACTTGGCAGCAGTCTACAGGTTTCACCGAGGTGACACTTGTAATTGAACCGGAACTAGCATACTAGCAAAAAAAAGCTGGCAAAAAGGCGAAATGGCACCATTACGACGACCAGCGCCTTTTATTGATCATCATCTCCTTCTTTCATCTCCTTCTTTACCCTCGAAGAGATTCACCGTGGGATCTTTCTTCGCTTTAATGCCTTTCAGCGTTTGTCCGCGCTTGACGGGAGAGTCCCGACTATGAATTTCACGTGGTGTAACCAGAAGAAATCCTGTGCGGATGGAATTCAGGTGGAGGGGTGGTGAGTCAAGCGGGAGAAAGGACCCTCAAAGAGGCAGCCATTTATTCCGATGTTAGGAATCCATATTGTAGCCTATTTTTCTATGTTACCTCCCTCGAACTTAGTACACTTTTTCTTGTATTCCACAATTTCTTTTTATCAGTTGACAATTTTATACCGTAGCAGTGGCGCCCTCATCGCTGCTTATTTTCGTCCAGTAGTTGAATCAATCAAATTCAATCACCCATCATACTGTGCTTGTATTCGGCGAATAATATCCGCAGGTTCCACACCTTCCGCATACAAAGAGAGCGAGTGACTACACTCTGTCCTCGGCATTATGCCCAATTGTGGATTGTGCCGTCAGGCCTATCGAGCTCTGAAAAAGGATGATCTGTCGTACGCTCACCATGAAGCCGTCTGCTCCACAATCAGTTACAGTTCATCAAGCTCTGTACTGGTCCTTCGAAATTATACAGATCACCATGAACCTTTTTTCCTTTCCTTGACCTTCTTTCAGAACGTCGCCAACTTTAATCGTTTTTACCTCTGTAGGTAACTAGGAAGGAAACACTGGAACTTCTAGGCACGTAGGGATTGTGTAAACTATTTAATTCATACGTCGTACTACTGCTACCTGTTACTTTCTCATCTTAGCAAACAAAGTTGGTGATTCGGCAAGTGTCGGTAATTGCCTGCAACATGCTCAGTCACGTTTTCGGATGCGGCATCGCAAAACCTCACAGTCATTCGTACCGGCCGGACTCATGTGGGAGAATAAATCCCTACGCCACCCCTAACCCCCATTTTCGGCCCTACAAAATTCATCGCATTAACCTCGATTGTCGATGCCGCTACGACTCTGAATTGGAAATGGAGAACCCTAGAAGGGCTTTAGCCTTTAGGTCTGTTCGAACTACGCCACATGAATGCATCCACGAAGTGGCTCGGAAGTTGAACGGTCGTACCTCTAGGGTACACTCCGGAGCTGAGGCAGGGTCAGAGTTCACCTTCTCAGAAGCCGTGGAATTGAGCCCATCTCCGGCTGTGGTTTCTTCCTATAGTAAACAGATCATGGAGGAAACAACCAGCGCTAGAAGACGCCACGAATGAGCTCATTCCACGGCTCCAGATTGACTACGACAATTCCAACTGTATAGTAATCGTAATTGATTGCTCACCGCTGAATTCGATTGTTTTTGGTGTTACCCTGTGAATGGTCAACGAGCCGGTTTTTTGTGCTTTAATTCCTTGTTTTGTTGGTTGTTTTCTCATCGATGCCCCATTCACAAAGTTCATAGAGCTAGCGTTCGTGAATATTGACACCTGGATTATGTAGGTTTGAAATGCACAGCTTTCAGATCGTAATGAGGTTACTGTTAACGTCGGTTGCTATCATTCAGTTGTGCACTGCAGAGTCGAAAAAGGAAAAGTGAGTTCGCAGTTTTTGACCAGTTTTTGTTTTCGCTCATCAATTTTTCTAAACTCGTCCGCGAATGGGATCATGTACATAGCCGATGCTGTGCACTTACTGTACTGAGAAGTCAGAAAGCAAACTGTATGTTCTTCTCCGTCCGTCATGGCACTTGTGCGAGGTGAACGGATCTTCAGATGCATATGAGTGCCACTTTTTCCGCCCAAAAAAGCACGAGAACGAGGCTGGAGGGCAGTGATACCCATGCCTGATTATTCTTTACCGGGCATCCCACGTCTGCTTGTTCTCTACCTCTGACTGCTGTTCGCTGCGGGATTTTGATATCGAAGCAAGAGCTGCGCGCCGAGGATGTTGTGAGCGGAGTATGGACACGGTATCATTACCCACATCCGCATTCGCTTGCAATTTGTGCGGAGAATGTGCTCCTTCATCCTCACACATGGTAAGAGCCGATATCCGCGGGGTGAGTGTACAGTTTGTCCCTGAGAAGGGGCTATGGTCCCAAGTAGACAGCTCAGTTTGTGGAGATTGTTACTAATGGGTCGTCGTATACTGTGGAAGTTTCGATCGCGGTAATTTAGTGGGCTTTGACGAAGCCGAAATAATGTATCCTTGTATTTCAGTGTTCCTCACACTGGACCATGCATGCTGAATGATGATGGTATGAAGTGCACGAAACAAGGTTAGCATTCCAATGATACGCGTTCAGTTATCTGCCAGTCCATTGAACCTTTACATATCCTGAAAGCTTTGATGAAGCGCTCGTGTGTGATGCACTTCTGCAGATTGAAAGGAATATAGGAGCTCTTCAGGGCACAGTCCACACACGCAGTGTGGGCGTGATCGCGTGAAATGCAGCTTCCTTACTGAAGTGCCCCCTTTCTTGACCCTCTAAGGAAGGAATGCGATGAAGACCAATGAAAAAGGCCTAATAGTGGGAATGACTTCGGTGCGCCCATAGGCTCAGTGTAGGCCCTCCATTCAAAGGCGATTGGCAAGATAATTTCATGTACACTTTGAAAAGGAGCAAAGTTGCCCAGTAATGCAAAAATAGTGAGAAAACGGGAGAAATTAGGAGAAAATCACGAAATGGGATCTTTATTACTTTGCTACACTGCGGCAGTGGACGAGCGAACGGCTGGGGCCGGCGCTGTTTTGGACGAGTCTATCGATTGACGATTCTGCTGGCAAAAAAACAGTAGTAACGTTACAAAGATTATATGTTCAGGTTGAAGGCCGTATAGTACCCTCGAAAATTGCGCGTGAAGGTAAAAATGTTGCGTCATGACGCACGCAGTCGGACGTACCGTACCCCGGGAAGAAGCTCCGAGGTAGAGCCGACACCCCGCGCCGCCGCCCGACCACGGGCGGCCCAACGGTCTTCGGCCGTGATGCTAGTTCAGGGTCACGGAATTCTTTCACGCCAGTCGCATCAAACCTACTCGTCCTAAGGAATTTATCGCGCCAGCTGCGTCTAAGCCATGGTTGGTCCGCAAGTAACGCTCGCAACGTGACATTTAGGCCTGAACTTCTCCGAAGCTTGTTGCCTGTCTAAACTTGGGTTTGTGAATATTCACGAGGGTTATTTTTTTGATTTCTGGCTTGAGGCACATCCACACATGATTTTCTAGCTCAGCTCTGCTTTTTCCTTCCTGTTAGCAAACCTGTACCTATCCTCTCCCCCCACCCTGCATTCCTATTTCTTTAACCACCAACTCTTTTTCTTGACGACTCTTCTAAGTGCTAAGTTTCAGGATATTATGATATTGTCCAATGTGATGCCCGTGGCTGCTTCTGTGTGGCAGCTAATAATGGTCTGGTGGCTTTCGACACGCGAACATCGAATAACATGACTTTACCGAAGTGTTCAAGTGGGTTTATTGGCTATGAGAGTATATAAAAATCGTCCCAGGAAAAGTACACTCCTTATCCCTGAGCCAGAGTAGGCGTGGCATTTGAACATGGCACGGAACTGGTTACTCGTGGAATATTTCAGTCTGGGACAACTGTCATCTTGTTCTGTGTTGGACAGAGACACGACAACAATTGTGTCAAGATGAAAATATCTCACCAGAAGCATAGACACCTTCAGGTTAAGTTGAAACATGCGGCCACGCCTACCCGATCTCAGGGATTTCGAGTATATTTGAATGGTGTGGACTCAATAGTTGGAATCCGTTCCAAATCCCAGTCACGGTGTTTGGTAGGAAGGGCCCCATTACACCGAATTTGAAGCAGTCTATCGACATCTTCTTAATGGTTTTCCTTCTGTCAGATTCCCCCTCACGAGGTTTCTTCTGGAACATTCAAACGTTACGAGCGTCCACAGAGGGTGGGGAGGAGATATGAAAAGCATAGGGATGAGTGACATGGCAGTGACACAGCATATGTGAAGCGAAAATTGCCACAATTTGAACATTTTTCTCGCAGCGCGCAAAAACCTGTACGATCCCCCACACTCCTCCCTATATAGCTTCCGCCAATGACGAGCTCTCCAAACGGAAAAGAAACCAACTGTTAAAAATTTCTCGGGGAAACTTTTACGACCCTACCCTTTCCACCCGAATTACTACCTCTCCGTTATGTTTTCACGATGGGTCCTGTGAGATGAGGGCATGACTGAGAGAGCAGCAGAATTAGACTGTCCCATCGGAAGCACAACCCCGTACCTTTAAGAGTAGGTGGTACGCTGCCTCGCCCCTCCCCTCATCTTTAGGAAATGGAGTATACCTTGACACAGATATACATACTTGTTTAAGCGTTTGATCTCTCCAAAAGGTAACGTATTTATTTCTCAACAGTTTTTCACTCAACTTCACTATATTTTTATGCTACTTGTTTAGACTGCCACAAAGCCTTGAGAGATTTGTACGCTGATGGAGATGCACCCCATGGAACTTTCGTGCCGAGGTGCGATGTTGCTCTTGGTATGAAGTTATTCCTCTGATTTTACTTCTCAATCTATGCTGCGGCTCCATACATTCTTTCCTTCTCAGTTTTTAGAATACTAGCAAGACTTTCAACGGTAGTAACCCAAAGTAGTAGTTCTAGTTCTGCTAAATTCCGATGGATTTACGATTTTTAAGGTGACTACGAGCCATTGCAGTGTGATGCAAGGCAGGAATACTGTTATTGTGTGAACACCAAGAACGGTACAGAATTGCCGAATACGCGCAAACGAAAGGAAGGAAACAAGTACATTACTTGTGGAAGGAACAGTAAGCTTCCACTATCGCAATCACCGTTTTGCTTAAATGAAATGCAAAGGAAAAGGGCACTGTTCTGCGACCCGGGGGAGGGGGGGGAGCATTTTGCACTCTCGCAGCTTCATTAGTTCCAGTTTGTACAAATCTCAAACTCTGTAAAAATTGTTGAATACTTGGCAGAGCAAGCTCGCCCAGGCCACCATGATAAAAACCTGTCAACTCTTCGTATGGACCTCTTGAGGCCCCTCAACACGTCAATGGAAGCAGCAAAGGTGCAAAATAGCCTCCCCACCGCCAACTGCGCCAGGAAAAATAACAGTAGGGTACGAATCAGTTGAATCAGTGGTGCTACCGGAAAGTTTGGATAAGTGAGACTTCGAGAGGCACCATTACCGCTTGTCGATTTTCTGGTTAGAACTGGACTGTGATACAGCAATGTACCCGCAACAGGCAGCATTTACTTCACGGTGGCGTACTAGAATTCGCTATCGCTGCAAATTACTCCATTTTCTAGCGATAGACGGGTATCGATTGACGACGGCCGCCAGTTTTCTGGCAGTGCGTAGGAACAGAGAAACTTAACCTTGCGTAAAGGTGTGTGGAGTGTAAGGACATAGGAGTTACACCAGGTGCGGGTTTAAGGCTTACAGCTACAAGTCGTTGAACTCTTGACTTACAGCACCGCATTGACCTATCCATTTTATGACGATATGGGACAGTGTCTGGTACCCTCCCTTTCTCTCATACTCTCACAAAACAAGAGCGGCCAGCACCGATCGATACCATGTGGGCTCTGGAGCGTCATCTTCCAACGCGAGGCGCGGTTGACGAGTGTCATGATTGTTGCGAAGCGCATTGAAATTTCCCGTAGGTTAGTGTTGCTTTAAGAACGTGCCGACCATCGGGAGGTGTGGGACTATTGGTAACCGACGGCCAGCGAACTCAATGCGTTCAAAGCGGCCCAGAACGAGTTAGGCTTGGTGTTGTTCTCTGCCAAAAGTTGTACCAGGCAAGCCCTGTTTGTGAATCAAAAATTCGTTTTCATACTCCAGTTCTGTCCTAGGAAAGCAGGCTCCAACGCATTCTCCTAATACCTCCCAGATGGGATCAGGCCAGACACCAGTTGGACCTGGGAGCAGGGAACACCATGGTGATGTGTGAAATGGTGGTGTCAGTAGGACCCTCACACCACCTAGAAGAAGGTCTCGGTCCGATCCCCTCCCCCAACACGTACCTACCAATTTCCGCACACTTTCCAGTTTGTCACCTAAAAAGTCCCGGAGGGGGCGGGACGAGGGGTTCAAATGGAACAGGAAAAATCACGAAAAGTCAACAACCGCGAAAATTTTTTGTTCTCAACACGGCAAATTGCTCTCGAAGGAATATACTACCCCCTCCCTCTTTCAGCAACGACCAAGTGCGGTCCCGCTCCCCAACCGAAAGTAGGACCCCCTATGAGCTTCACACAACGATGCTGTATCCTGCCTGAAAGAACTCCTCGTTACACGTCACTGCTCCCAATTGCCCCTATTAAAACGAAAATCTCGAAAGGGAAGGATATCTCGCCCATTCACTTCCTATTCAGGAGGAACGGGACGTTCACTACGGCTTTAAATAATGCTGGGACCATGAGATATTCGTAAACAAGTTCCACGACGTCAGAGCAGGCAAGTAGCGTTAGGACCTTCCGCCACGTTGGGTGCCAACTAGATGATTACTTGATTAGTGGTTGACCCGACATACTGCAGCAGATCCGCTCAAAACATAGGCCTGGTGCGAATGCCGCGCACAATTAGCAAAAGCAGACAGTCCTCTTACGTCACCGTCGCTGCATCGCG